AGTGCACCTTTCTGCAGGCTTTTCAGATTTTAAAATGGACATTGAGGATTTGCATAGCTTTATTTTTCTTGAAAAAGGAAAGTTTTTTTCTCAAAGGTCAATGTTCTTATATATTCTGGATGTTCAGTTAACTCTCTAGTTGCACTAACACTATTTATTCTTTATAGCACAAAAGGAAATGTTATTTTCACAAATCATTAAGATGAAATTTTTCCTTTACATGTAAAATAATTCATCCCACTGCTGCTCTAGTGAGCAAATCATTTGAAAATACAAATCTGACAGTGATATTTTTAGTGCCTTCACATTCCCCTATTCAACATCAGTAGCATAATCATCTCTTTTAAATTCAACTTGGAATACACCATCACTTTCAAACTGTGTCCCACTGCACTGAGTTAGCACATCAGAAAGATGAGCTTCCTTGTAGCATGTGATTACTGATTTCAGTACAAACTGTGATGCTTTCTAACGGGCTGGTGCAGTATAGCAGAGAACAGGCACCATGCAACTGAAATACTACGGAATTCAAACATTTGTTGCTCCATTGGTTTCTCCAGCATATCCCTGTGAATAAATACATGGAATTAAGAATAAACTGTGTTGAATTAAGTTAAACCTTACTGAGTTTATGTACTAAGTTAAACCATGCTTGTCTCCTCTCTGCCAGGAAGCCATCAGAATCTTGACATAGTGCCACTTACATAAGATAACTATGGTTCTCTACCTCCCAGGTGCCAGCAACAACCTGGCAGATTTCCTTAGCAGAGAGCTAATTGCCATACGTGAGTGATCCTTGTGGAAGTCTACCACAGAGCCGGTATTCCTGTGTATGGGAACCCCAGTGATAGACATGTTCACCACCAATGTCAATGCCAGAACTTTAGTTCCAGAGATAGTATGTGTCCAGAGTCATTTCTGGACACATTCCTTCTGCAGTGTTCTGATGCCCTCTTGTATGCCTTTCCACTGATTCAGTGGGATTTCCAACATCAAGGGTCAAAGTCACAATCATTCTGATAGTGCTGTATTCTCAGAGGTGGTTTTAGCTGACAGACCTACTACAAATGTCCATCCACACCCCAATCTAGTTCTCTCTGCTCAGACTTGACCCTCAACACCATGAGCAGATATTCCAGCTAGATTTCAGAGTTAACAAGTCTCTCCTCTAAAAAAAACCCATCACACTTCAGCTCCAGCTGATGAAGAGTAGGAAGGAATTCCAGTCTTAATGAGCTTCTATGAAAAAATGCTCTGCAACCCATCCCTATGAGTGCATGTACCTCTGATGGTCACCTTCTGAAAAGGTAACAAGAAATTACTCCAGATTGTCCTTCAGGAGCATTGTGGTCAGAGATGCTGTCATCAGGGATAGTCTGGGGCCTACACCAGCGTGTCTTGAAGGCAGGGGTGGTGCCTGAATAGGAAGGTCCAGCACTGCCATTATCTGCTGTTGCAGTATGGCACCCTCTATCAATTACTGCTAGTGAATTGTCTGTTGTTGCAGGAGTTTCTATTGCTGCTGAGTTCAGTTTTCAACTAACCATAGTAGTAGCTATTCCAGCTCTATGGCTGCCACTGTCAAATACTTTCACCTTCACCCATAGGATTATTTTTTTAAATGCCACTCTGGTGTCACGTGCAGTAGGCCCAGTGGGTTCACTGGGGTTCAGACATTAAGGCACAGAACCATTGCAGCATGTAAGAGTTTTTTAATTTCAACCCCATCCAAAAACCATCCCTGACTCTCTACATAAAGCTACAGAAAACAGTCAGTTTACATTTGGGTCTCTTCCACGTCATGCTATTCAGCACCCAGTCCTACAGGCAAGATCATCTCAGCTGGGATCTAGGCAGAGTGTGGCCCCACCTCTTCCCCCATCATCCACAATTGCTCCTGTGGCCCAAGCCTTTTTTTTGAGGCTTTCTTCTTTAATAAGGGTGTGAAAGCTAACATCTTGTACAATTCCTTTGGTGTGTGGCAAATAATAAATCTCCTTGAAAGGGAGGAAAAGGAATCACTTCATCCTCTTGGCCAGGTAGGGTACCTGTGCTGGCACTAGCACAAAGAAACATTGTAGTGGGTACTGCATAAGTTAGAAAATAAAGGAAAAAATAAACTCTATTTTAAACAGTGTAATGTAATATGCTGTTAGGATCATGAGTGTGCAGTGACCTAGTCTGTGCTTTGGGTAAGGCAAAGCAGATGTTCTCTGATTTACGAAAGTATATTACACCACACTAATGGTACTAAATATAGTGATAATGATATCTGTTAAATGGGGATAATCTCATTTACTTACATCACTGGATCACCTGAAGTTTAATGAGTGTAAAGTGCTTTGAGATCATTTAAATGTAATTTCCTATATAACTACAAAACAATATTACTGTCATCACATAATAATATTACCATATTACATGATCTTGGGATGTTGCCTTAATAATAGGTTCTCAGGAGGGCAGGGCAGGGAAGCTGATTGTTTTTGCTATCCTAATGATGTAAGAGCTTTACACTTTAGGTGTGACATGAGAAGCTGAAATGCATCCACTGACATAAGTAAACTTTATACATACAAATGAATTAAGATAAACCTTTTCTTAAATTCTTAAATGCTTTTAAGAACACAGCTGGAAGCTTTGCATCATCACACTGTACAGAGCGCTATAGGCTGGTAAAGCAGATATAGTACAACTCTGAGAGAGACTTGGTGCTGGATAGTTCTAACCTGCAATCAGGACGGGTGTGTGATCTTCTACATAATTGCAGTTCTAATGTATTAAGCCACAAACTACTATGTGTGTTTAAATAATGTTAAGGGTCAGACGCTCACAAAATATGGAAATTCAGCATCACAGGGATGAAACTCTGTATTTAGCTCACCCTGTTGAACTAGTTACTACAGCACATGCAATATGGTTATGTAAAATGAGCTATTTGGAGACTCTTGCAATGCTTAGCACGATAGGAGTTAAGACTAGGGTTTAAGCTTTAACTCTGACCCTTGTTTTTAACTTCCTAAAAGTCCTAATCCATGAGTAGTTATGGTGGTATCTGATTGTGCCTTTTATCTCTGACAATCTTTCCTTCTAAAATAAAATATTCAGCAATGGTATCTATGCCTGACATAGGGAAAATGGACACAAAGGAAGGATAGTTTTGTGCTTAATGAACGAGACTGAGAGTCGGAAAACCTGGATCCTATTCATGGCTTTGCCACAGACTGCCTGCAAGTCACTTGGGCTACCATTTTAAAACCTGGATCCTAGATACTTGATTTTAGGCAACCAAATCCTTATTTAGATACTTAAATAAGTGACCTGATTCTTGGCCTGATCCAACACTCATGGAGGAGTCTTTCCATTGACTTCCATCTGCTTTGTATCAGGCCCTTTCAGAGATAATGAACTCTTGCAGATCCCATTGAAGTAAATAGGAGCTGTGGATTGGCAGCACCTCTGAACATCAGGCCACTTTTATTTAGGTGCCTAAAGATGGATTTACAGCCCTAATTTTACACACCTAAATTTTGACTTTAATGTCTTGTGTGCCTCATCCTATACTGAGGAATCTAAAACTTGCCTCACATGGGTGTTGTGTGGACAGATGTTTGTAAGGAGTTTTGAGATGCTTTGATAGAAGGAGCTGTAAGTGCAAAGTTTTATTAACTCACTTCTTGAAATAGATAAAAGGAAATGGGGTCTGACTGTATTTTAGGTTTTTGATAGCAGCACTGTATTGCAGGGAAAGAAACATGAATGGAAGTTAATGAGAACTGATATGAAACACAGAGTTCTCACTGGCTGACTACAGCTTAACTCAGGTGAGGACATAGCCATACAAATTTTTAAAGGAGATTAATTACTTAGGGCCTGGTTTGAGGAGTAACTAGGAATGATGAGGATGAAATTAAGAAAAGAATAACACAGGCGGAATATTAAAAAAATGTTCTGAGAATGTGTTTGGCAAGACTGGGAGGTCCATCTCTTAGGGCCTTAGTAAATAAGTCTAGGAAAAAATAAATATTATACCTGAGAGGACAATCCTGCATTGACAAAGAGATGAATTACATTAATTTAAGAGGTCCTGTAATTTCCATATTGTGACCCCTTCCTCACATTGGTGAGCAGTTACTCATGAGGAGTCCCACTGAACATGAGTAAATGCTCCTCCGTGTGAGTAAGAAAAGCACACTCTGTTCCTTGCATGATATGAGCCATCAAATATTTATTTTTAAAGATCATTAACTATTTGGATGTTAATATTATTTGCCAGACCCAGGGC